GGTAGTCTTTGATGCATGTGCAAGTGGTAAGTTAACCAAGAAAAGCTTCAAATTAAAGAAAGACATTACCACCTCTCAAGTTTACGAATTGGTTCACATGGACTTGTTTGGACCAACAAATGTGGTAAGCCTTGGAGGTAAATCTTATGCTTTAGTGTTGGTTGATGATTTTTCTCGGTTTACGTGGGTATATCTTTTGGCATCAAAGGATGAAGCTTTTGGAATGTTCAAATTATTTGTATCTAAAGTGTTAAATGAATCTGAAACGGGTATTAAGTCTATAAGAAGTGATAATGGAGGGGAGTTTGTGTCAGAACAGTTTATCGCATTATGTGATGACAAAGGTATAAATCATACCTTTTCTGCTCCAAGAACACCACAACAAAATGGTGTTGTGGAGAGGAAAAACAGAACCATAATTGAAACTGCTAGAACTATGTTGCTTGAATATGGTAGTCCTAAGTTTTTGTGGGGGGAAGCTGTTATGACTGCAGTGTATGTAATAAACCGTGTCTTAATCAGAAAACATTTGGAGAAAACACCTTATGAGATTTTAAAACATAAAACTCCAAATGTAAGCTATTTCCATCCATTCGGATGCAAATGCTATATACTAAACACAAAAGATCACCTTTATAAGTTTGATGCCAAAGCTGAACGAGCAATATTTCTTGGCTACTCCATGAAAGGGCAGGCTTATAGAGTATATAACTTGAGAACTAGAAGGGTAGAAGAGTCAGTTTTTGTAAAGTTTGATGATGCTGGTTGTTCTGAGAAAATTGATGCAGAAAACATAGACCTTTTATTCCCAATAGAAAGTATTAATGATGCAAAATCAGAAGAGAAGGAAGCAAGTGTGAAGAAGGACAATGACTCCTCAGACGAGCCATTAGGTCAACCAGAAGAAAAAATGGCACCAGCTTACATACAGAAACGACATCCAGCATCGCAAATTATTGGCAACTTGAATGAGGGAATACACACCAGAGGTAAGTACTGTCCAGGTCAGTATGCATTTGTCTCACTTCTAGAACCTAAAAATTATAAGGAGGCACTAAATGATGATGAATGGTTGCATGCTATGCAAGAAGAACTTATACAATTTGCTCGCTTGCATGTGTGGGAACTGGTACCAAGACCTTTTAACAAACTAATCATAGGAACAAAATGGATCTTTAGACTGGTAGCACAAGGGTATTTGCAAGAAGAAGGAATAGACTTTGAAGACTCCTTTGCTCCTGTTGCCAGAATTGAATCTATAAGAATGCTTTGTGCATATGCGTGTTATATGAAAATTCCCTTATATCAAATGGATGTTAAAAGTGCTTTTCTAAATGGAGAAATAAATGAAGAGGTATATGTAAGCCAACCCCCAGGTTTTGTAGATCATGAACATCCAGATCATGTGTATAAATTATCAAAAGCATTATATGGATTAAAACAAGCTCCTAGGGCATGGTTTGAAAAATTATCCTCCTTCCTAAAAGAAGAGGAGTTTGTTCAAGGGAAGGTGGACAAAACCTTATTTATCAAAAGGAAAAATCAAGACACTCTAGTAGTACAAATATATGTTGATAATATCATATTTGGATCAACTAGTCCAAACATGTGCACTATTTTTTGTGAATTAATGAAATCTAAATTCGAAATGAGCATGATGGGAGAATTATCTCACTTCCTAGGATTACAAATTAAACAAACAAATTCAGGAATGTTCATAAGTCAAACTAACTACATCAAAACCATGCTCAAGAAATTCAATATGGAATCAGTAAACCCTTGTCCAACCCCAATGGCCACAAGTCTGAAACTAGACAAAGACACATCTGGTGTACCTGTATGTGAAAAGAAGTATAGGGGAATGATAGGATCTCTCTTATACATAACAGCGAGTAGGCCAGACATTCAATATAGTGTTGGGGTATGTGCTAGGTTTCAATCCAAACCAAAAGAGAGTCACTTGAAAGCAGTAAAAAGGATTTTTAGATATCTCAAGGGAACAATGGAAGTTGGGTTATGGTATTCTTTCTCAGATTTGTTTGAACTAAACGGATATAGTGACTCAGATTTTGGAGGAAGCCTAGTTGATAGGAAAAGTACCTCAGGAAACATTCAATTTTTAGGTCCTGCACTTGTATCTTGGTTTAGCAAGAAACAAGGTGCAGTTGCACTATCCACTGCAGAGGCAGAGTATCTCGCTGCTGGAAGTTGTTGTGCACAAATTATGTGGATGAAAACTCAATTAGAAGACTATGGATTCAAATTTCAAAACATCCCAATTTGGTGTGACAATACTAGTGCCATATGTATGACAAAAAATCCAGTACAACATTCCCGGACTAAACACATAGAAGTAAAATACCATTTTATAAGGGATCTAGTATCAGCTGGTCATGTATGTTTACAATTCATACCTACTGAATATCAACTGGCCGACCTATTCACAAAATCACTAGCTTGCGAAAGGTTTACCCAATTGTGTACTGAACTAGGCTTAAAATCTTTTAACCAGATCAGAGATCTAAAAAGCTAACTGAACTATTGGGCTTGAAGTTATCTAGGCGTGTTATGTGTCTTGATTTACTTAAATGAGATATTTCCTTCTGCTCATGCGTGTCTTTTCTGCTTTAATGTAATCATTAGTCTTGGTTTAGGGAAAACAGACTCTTCGTATTCTCTTCTCCCGCTCCTCTCCTACTCTTCGAAGCACTATTTAAGGGACTCCCCTCACTCTCATCTCCTCATCCTATCCTCTAGCAAAACTAAAAGCCTTAATCTGCCCTCTGCAAAAAAACCAAACAAAACATATCTTATCAACCAAAAATGAGCGATCATTTACCTCGTCCTTTTCGATTTGATGGGTTGGTACACACCTATCCAGGCTACATGTTCCATGAGCCTGTGGTAATAAACCAACATCGTCATCTTCAGCATTTTGAGAGTAGGAGACTACACCACATCATCCAAATCGATCCATGTGAGTTCAACTTCTATAAGTACGACATTATGTCTCTTATAGAAGCTCTTGGGTGGGATTATCTCCTTCGACAGCCACTTCATCCAGCATGTCCTGGTGCAGTCAAGTATTTCTACTCAAACCTTAGATGCCAAGGAGTCAGCACCAGAAGTTTCTCAACTGTAGTCTACGGTCATTTATTGACCATTCCAGTAGGAGCTATCAATGGAATCCTAGGATTCCCTTCTCAAGGAATCGATATTGCCCATCCATCAGAGTTTTGGAAGCAAAACTTCATCCTACCCAGTGAATACTCAAACTTCTCCACTGAACCCACAGGAGGGACGGACGTGCCGATTCCCATCAACTGGTTGACACCTCGTTTGAGGATCTTCCATCACTTCATCACTCATGTCTTCTTCCCAAGAACCTTCAACCTTGACGTGGTTCTGCCTCTTGATCTGTGGATCATCTCTAGTGCAACAGCTGGGCGCAAACTGGATTATGCTAGCTTAATGTTTGGAAATCTTCTTCCAGTTGGAGACGAGCATTATCAAGGGTTAATGCCATTTGGGTCCATCATAACTCGAATGCTAATCAATCTTGGTGTAGATCTATCTGATCATCGGAGTGTTTCCCACACCATGTATGTGGGAGCTCTCAATGTTCTAATGGTTCTAGATCTCCCCATTGACCCTGCTCCATCTCCGCCGCCACTTCCTTCCGCTTCATTTCTCGGTGCTCGCTCCAAATTCGCTAAGGGCGACAAGGGAAAAAGCATAGTTGGAGAGTCAAGTAAGGCTGCTAATCTCGTGTTCACTGTCACTGATGGGAACACTTCATCCGATGACTCGGCTGACCCTGAAGACCCAGAAGAGCAAACCTCTCCCATTCCTTGATCCCACCTGCTGTCACTTAGGGGGAATATCCATCTGTTTAGTCTCTTGTAGTTGTAGTTGTAGTCCTGTAGTGTTTTCTTTTCTTGTCGGTTAATTAAGTAGTGTGATCCTTCCCAGGGGGAAGCTTCTCAGTAGTTATTGTTCCAGTTATGTACTTTCCTTGTTATTTTCGGAGTAATTAAATTAAGATGTCTCTATTCTTCGTAGTGTTGCTCGTGTTTTGTGTTCGTTTTGCAGAAACAGCAGGACTTGTTGGACGAAGGGGGAAATTGAAGAATAAATAGCGTCCCTGTCAAGCAAACCAAACGGTGTCGTTTTCTTTATTCCTCAACCATCTTCAGTATACGACGTCGTCTGATCACCAACGGACTCTTAGCAGAAGAATCGTCCTTTCAAGTCCATTTCCAGAAGAAAAGCATCGAGCTGCTCAACCCTAGCCTCCCTCCTATGGAAATCCTCAGAGAGCGTAGCAAAGCGAAATTGAAGACTTTACTCAAGCAATCACCGACTCCAGAAGGGCTATGATGATTTCCTCAAAGGAGCGTCTTTGGTTTCGCCAACGGCTATCTCTCGCTTCCCAGTATATATAGCTAAGTATCTTTCTTTTAGAACTTGTCCGTGAGTTGTAGAAGAAAATAGCAGAGTGTGCATTTGTCTTCTTTCGGTCCAATTGTAGACTCTTCGAGTTATCTAATTCACAGTGCAAAGAGCTGGGTGAATTAGATTTGGGAAGAGAAGTGTTTCTGGTGTATAGTTTGTAAAAGGGCCAACTCTGTTTGGTTCGACCAAGTGACTTGGTGTGTTTTGTTCTGTTCTGTAATCTTCTTCCTCAAATCAATAGAGTATTCCCATCTTACATAGAGGTTGATAGCAAGATAGATCAAAGGTGTGTGATTACGAGAGAGTTTTTCCCAGTTCTAATTTCAACAACAATTATTTGAGAAACCAACCTGGGATTTATCATTTCCCTTTAATTAATGATTAAATCAGAAAGAGTCAAGAATTAGGTTTCTCTTTGTTCTTCCATCCTCCCCTGATCCCATTTTTTCACAGACAGATCGCCGCGGGTTGGAACTCTCACGTAGAGTCCGTCGTCTTTAACGACCCAGTACATGTTGTAATCGAACTCGTACTTTCCGGCGACATCATCCGTCCATGCATCGAAATAGATGTGGTGGTTGTCGTCGGGGGGCTATGTAGCACCAATACAAAGTCGACACGTAGAGATTCCACGGCCTGAACCGCCAGTTGAACTCGTTGGCAGGGTTGATGGCCAGGACCCCGAGGTCGCGGGTGCCGGACTTGCAGTGGACAAGCAACACCTTCCCGCCGGTGAGCTGGTTGGTGACGTGTACGTAGTGATACGGCCAGAAGGAGAACGCCGTTACGGTGGTAGCAGAGAGCAGTAGTTTCGCGAGGATGGTGCTCAGAATTGTTACCGTTGAGATAACTCCGCTACTGCTTCCCCTCTCATGACAATTCACAAGTATAATATAATCGTACGTCACTAAAGATATATTTTACTGTGGTAGTGTAGTGAGGTTGTAGTCGTGTTTCTAAGGTTTATGGCTGCTTTCGTGGAGGTTGACATACAATAATACATTTTTGGTACCTGAACTTAATAGATCTTAATATTTAGTACCTAAAATTATTTTTTCACGTTTAAGTCTTAAAAAGTCAATTGAAAATCACATTTTAGTACCAAAATTCTCTTCTTCTTACATTTTGATACCTGAAATTTTTGAAATTTAGAAATAGGTCCACTATTAAGAAATATGTGGTATTGTTTTATGAGATTTGTGGTCTGTTTAATAAATTTATTGTGTGTTTTATGAGACTTATGGTATGCTTCATGGAAATTGTGGTCTGCTTTAAGAAATTTGTGGGGTGCTTTTATTAACTTATGGTGTGGTGATGTTGTGGTCTCATTTCTAAGGCATGCGACTGCTTTAATAAACTCGTAGTGAACTTATTGGCCCTTATTGTATGCTCCACGGGATTTGTGGTGTGTTTTAAAAAACTTTTGGTGCGGTAAGGTTGTGGTCTTAAACTCACCATCTTACATTTTTGAAAAAGAATAAATCTAGACGAAATAATAAAAATGGAACTTTAGTCAATTGACGCTCCTTGTCCCTATAATGCCTCTGCGTTGTGAGGATTGGTGTGTTGAAGTCGTCATATATGAGTAATTCTTTCGCTCAAAGAAAAATGAAGTCTTAAGATTGGTATAGCTATAGCGGTAATAAATAAATAAACGTCAATATTGACCACACCTTTCCTCCCAACCTTAGAGTTAACAATCATATAGTAAGAATAAACTAGCCAATGCTTCATTAGTACTATTGGGAAACAATTATTTGAGAAATTAACTCGAGATTTATATATCATTTTCTCTGAGATGATTAATTAAAACGAGTCAAGAGATTTTTTCTGTCTTTTTCCATCCTCCCCTGATCCCATTTTTGCCAACACAGATCGCCGCGGGTCGGAATTCTCACATAGAGCCCGTCGTCTTTAACGACCCAGGACATGTTGTAATCGTACTCGTACTTCCCCGCGACGTCGTTTGACCACGCATCGAAATGGATGTGGTGGCTGTCGTCGGGGGCTATGTAGCACCAGTACAGAGTCGCCACGACGAGAAACCCGGGCCTGAACCGCCACGTCAGATCCTTGGCAGGGCTGATGTTCTGGACCCCGAGGTCGCGGGTGCCGGACTTGCAGTGGACGAGCAGCACCTTCCCGCCGGTGAGCTCGTTGGTGACGTGGACGTAATGGTACGGCCAGAAGGAGAACGATGCTACGGTGGTAGCAGAGAGCAGTAGATTTGCGATGATGGTGCCCAAAATTATAACCTTTGAGATCACTATGCTGCTGCTTCCCCTCCCCATAATAACAAGTATATAATCGTCTGTCACTTGATCACCCTCAGATGTTGGAAGCTCTATATTTTACTGTATATATATATATATATGAGGAGTAAGACTGTTTGTTATATATATTCAGTAGTTAATGATGCTGATAAGATTCCATAATAAAGTATGGTAGTTCTATCAATTTTGTTAATCAATATGCAATCTCCATGGAGATCTTCTATTAAATGTCCTTACTTTTTTGTGAGGGGTGATATAAGTTCGCTTTATTGTTAAGTGGTATTTATTAGAGTCAAATCTGGAATTTTCAGGTTGAAAACCAATGGTGGTAGTAGTAGTACCACCCACCTGCCACTGTACCAAATCTTTATTGGCAAATTTTTATTATTATCTTGGCTTCTTGAAAAGAGAAAATTTTAATATAATTTCTCGTTTTGTTTACACAAAACACTATATTTATATTGTATCCTAAAGTTTGCAGAATAGCAATCGAATCGATCACAATATATATTAGCAATCGAAAGCATTTGATACAAATCTCTCCCTTTACTACAATTCAATATCTTAGACTACTGTCCACAACCCTGAAACTAAAAGGGCATTTTGCCTTTTATCCCCAAGAATTTATGCAACCATGGACTAAAATATGGGGGATACATGGCTAAAGGGGATTTTAGAGGTTATTTTAGCTCTTCTTTGGGGTATAAAGGTGAGAGCTAAATATTTAGGGAGCAAAAGAAGAATATGAGTATATGATTCAAGCTCACACATATGAGTATGCGCGTTGACGATAAATACAACAAAGTGAATGAACATCAATTAGAAGATGTATATACATCATACATAATCTTTGAAATCTTTAAGGTTCACAAACCTACATAACCGGAGGTTTTAACCACTAATATTCAAAGGAAACACATAGGAATTGATATAGGGGAGAATCGATCTACCTTATGAAAATGGAGGATCTCTATCCAAAATGGTGTGTAGGGGGCCATTTATGACACCTTTTTACCCTCAGAGCTTCTAGACAAATTTTGAGCTCTAGAGCTAATATAGAGACAGAGAACCACTTGTAGAGTTGTATTTCATTTGAGCCCAATATGATGTATTTATAGACTTGGAAAGTATATTTATCTTCAGGTTTCTAGAGATAACTTATTTTCTAGAGTCTACTTTTGTCACACAACACTCTTGAACTTTGATTTGAGATTTGAGAACCTCATAACTTGAGTTTTGGGCTTTTTCTTGGGCTTGGCTGCAACTTGGGTCATATCTTACTCATATTACTTCTGAATCCATCATCGTTTGAATCTAGACACTTGAATTCATATCTTTTTCATCTCACGGCAATGCTCTCTGAGATAAGCCCAATCAGTTTTGATTTCAACAGAGAGGGGAATATACACATTGTTGAAAACACAAAAGAAAGTGACCGGTGAATAGAGGTTGTCTAGTGGGGTCATTTAAGACCTCCATTACAATAGAGGACCGACAGCAGGGATGCATGATGGCACAAGTCGTTGTCAGTGAGTCGCAAGATGGCAGAAAATAGATCCACTCGCGTTGATGGGAAGGCGAAGTCCTTGTTTCTTCTTTTATTTTTCTTGGTTATTTTGTGGCAGTTGTATTTGCCTCTGGTTTCTATGAAGATAGTTTAAAGCCATGACCCGTTACGAAGCTGAGGTTATGGATACGAATTTTTTTAAGTGAGGCTATGGATACGACCGATGTAGAGGTTTGAGGTGCTCAATGACGGCGTCCACGCCGTCCATGGTGCCGGTTACGGCGACGGAGCCCCCTGACGCTACCAAATAAATGAATTGTCCGGCGTTGATGGTGGAGCCATTCATGAAGGATTTCCCTGGGGGCAAGGTCTTGGGGATGAAGATGAAGAAGCGCAGGGTTTTGGTCGGCAAGATGAATATGAAGATTTGGATCTCGAGGGATTTAAGTTTGGTTGTTGATGATGGAATGCAGAATTTGCAGAGAACCTGGAATCGACGAGGGATTTTACCGGGATGTCTATGAATATGTTAAAGATTACATTTACAGGGGAATAGGCCTTTTAGTTTTGTGTTTTTTTCTTCTTTTTTTTGTGTGTGTTTTGTTTCTAATCCACGTGGATTGTTGGGGATGAAAAATCGCCAATAAATCCATTTCGTCTGTCTAGTCACATTGTTAATTGATACTATTAGTGTATTAGACGGAATTGGACATATTTTGTATTTCGAAACATGTGACTGTCACAAAACGAACCTTGAAAAGGATGGAAGGACCTCCTCAAACACTATTCACCACTATTTTATTTCCCCAGCTTGGGTTTTACATAGAGATTTACCAACAAAAAATCTTCACTGCTTCCAGCAATGGAGCTTTCACAAACATGGCCGACATGGCCGACAACCAGATCAATCAATATCGGGGTAGGAGCAGTAGAGAAAGAGGTAGGGAAGGATTCAGAGCTACGCATGGAAGGCAGAGGGGTGCAGAACAAGCAAGCAAATGGATTGGGGGGGAAGAGATGGCAATCATGGCCATGGAAATCTCCGCCTAGAAAGAAAGGAGAGTTGACTAAAGCAGATCGGAGCTCTAATGCAAAGTCTGGTGACGACATAGAAAAGAGGGAATATCAAATTGCAGGAGGAGACAATCTGAGCATTAATGGGGCGCATAGATCGAGTGAATATTTACGGCTTAGAGCAGAGGAGACGGGGGACGGGAGACGGGGGAGCAAGAAACACAGAGCGGCACCCATAAGTGAGAGGGGGAGAAACAAGGTGAATCATTATAAACTCAGAAGGGGGAAAGATAGTGGAGACCCTGCGCAGGCTGCATTCAATGAAAGAAATCTGAAAAGGCAAAACTCGGCACTGTGGATGGATGTGCTAGACGGCGACTACATCCTAGTGGTAAGAGAGTGAAGCTAGGGAGACAGAAGGGTTTAAAGGTCTCCATCAAGATGGCAAGAGAGATGGGTACTGAGCATTTAATCACCCCAGTCAGAGAGAAGGGCTCGATAGGGGAGTATTGACACGCCAAACACACAACACCAAACTGCGACCAAGTGTAATCACAGTCCGGGAATGTAGTAACAGGCAAGTTATATTATCAACCCGGGGTCTAGATCTACTGCTTACTCCGTGATTGTCTATTATCTAGCAAACTAATTCGAGTGATTGTTGTTTAAAGCTAAAGCAGTAAGAAAGCAGTAAATGGTTCAGTTTTCAAAGTCAGGAAAGAGTCACTCGGGATTGAGTCCCCCTAGCCACTTAGTTAGGTTCAATTGTAATTCCCCTGGGTTGATTTACTGTTGATTAGACTGCGGAAGATCCGACAGCAGCTTGGAATCTCTTAAGCTGACCAAGCCCTCTCAGTCTAACTACCCGGCAGACGACTAGTCTTCACCGGGATAGAAAGCTGAGGCTATGAACACAGAACTCCACTACTGGAATTGAATTCCAGTACAAAGCAGTGAACTGGCTAACTCTCGTATAGCCAATCTCCTACTATCGAATGAAGAGGCTCTAACGACCAAATCAGATTCTATCTATCTCAGGTTGCAGCAGAAATCGAGAAAAGCTGATCAGACTTCAATCAATTCAATAAACATGCATCATTCGATTAAAATCAAACAGTAATATCATCCCAAGTCATTACAATCAAATCCCTAACACAAGGAACTAGGGTTCTTCATACCCAAGTGAGAGAAGGGTTCTACTCCATAGAGAGAGAAGAGAAAACAGTAATCGGAGTAGTCATACTCATAATGATGAGGAAAATCTGCTCCGGGATGATGATTTCCACTCCTATGACAATCTCCAAGCTCGATTCGATGAAACCCAGCTCCAAGATAGCTTCTAGGATGTGTTCTTCGTACTTTCTCTCTCTAGGGCTCTGTTTTTGCTCTGAAAATCCGATTCTCCCCCTTTTGGCTCGGAATTGGCTCTAAAACCAGAATTTCCCGACCCACACGGGCAGGCCACACGGCCGTGTGACTCACCCACTTGGCCGTGCGGCTCAAAACGCAGCGTATGGTTTAGTTCGATCTTCAGGCTTCTCACACGGCCAGGGTGCACGGCCGTGTGGATTTCATGGGTTGCCCGTGTTTGCTCTCGGTGGAAATCACACGGCCACAATTGCACTTGGCACGGCCGTGTGAAAGCCACTTGTGCTCGTGTTTGCTCTCGCACAATTCCACACGGCCTGGCTTGTCCTTTGCACGGCCGTGTGATGCCACGGTCTGCCCGTGCAGCTTCCTTGAAACCTCGCCATTCGTCCGATCTTCGTCCAATCAACCCCAGACTCGCTCCCAACCCTTCATTCACGTACTAGGACCTGAAATATCACAAACAAGCACAACCTAGCGTGAAATCGGCCTAAAACACGAGAATCAACACTTCGAACGGTGTAAGAACGGGGGTAAAAACATGTGTAAATAACGGTTTATCAAACTCCCCCACACTTAACCGTTTGCTTGTCCCCAAGCAAACCAAGTCAGACACCAGGTAAGCTTACATATTTCAATCAACCAACATTGGGGACGAGTCATAAAGGCACAGAACACGTGAATCGTACTGGTTTTCCAACATCAATACATGACCAACCTCAATAACAACCTAGACAACCACCACAAAGGACATTCGAGTGCAGCAAATCGAGTAAAGGAAGAGTCTCCCTTCTGTTCACCAATCAACCTAGACTTGACTCAACCACTTACTCAAAACAGTCAACTCATGCATCCAACTCAAGACATCAGAACAGAGACCGAGCAATCTAGGTCCTCACCGGGGTACAAGAGTATAAAGAATATGAAAATGAATCACTCACTCTCGACCAGTGGGGTCAGGACAATTCGATGCGAAAAATGCGCATGCTACTTCTCTCAATCCCTATAATCTCTTCACCATGATGGCAGCCTCTAAATGCTAGAGTTCACATACGGGGTGTCACCACTAACTAAACAGGAGGTCTTAGACACAGGTTCAAATGACTGGCTAGGGTCTTGGACATGGGGA